AGGAAGGAAGGAAGGAAGGAAGGGAGGAAGGGAGGAAGGGAGGAAGGAAGGAAGGAAGGAAGGGAGGAAGGGAGGAAGGAAGGAAGGAAGGAAGGAAGGGAGGAAGGAAGGAAGGAAGGAAACATTCAAACTTTTTATTGATTGTAAAAATCACGATTTATAATTTTGGCCAGTTGAAAAGATAAAATAGTTTTTTTGGTTTGTAGGGGGTTTTTGTTGTTGTTGTTGTTTTTTACCCAATATCCCTTTCTGAGACAAACCATGCTATTAACTTTCATCTTCAATAACCCATGAAAATCTAGGTCAGGCATTGCCATGAGAACAATCTGACTACATTAGCTGCTTGTCTAACCATTTCAGTGACAAAACACACATGTAGGTTTCCTTAGCAATCATTAAAACGCCCCTTTAAGTATTTCTTTAAGACTTTTTTTTTTTTGCTGCATGATGCCTAAAATAGTTTTGACAGCAGTCTGGCTGCTTCAGTGGTCAGAGAAGCATTGACCACACAGACTGATGTTGCTTTGCTGCTGCCTTGGTAGCACTCTGCTGTCTCTGCTCATGCAAAAGGGTTGTAGCTCTTTGGGTAGAGAATAAAATTTAATTATTAAAAAAAATAATAAAAAATATATATGGTGAGGTACACCAGCAGAGTTAGCACTTGCAGGTAAGGGTATTTATAGAGAAGTCAATCAAAAATAACAGCCTTCTGACTGCTACCATCGTGGGGTTTTTTTTCCTCATCTAAGGAGCAGCCAATGTTTACTCCAATAAATACATGGCTTGGGAGGATCCACTCTGTAACACACATATGTTTTTCCAAAGCATCTACTGAAAACTTTAAGAAGACTAATGAGAGCACATGACTCATTCAATGGGATTTCTGGCTCGACAGAAGCCAGGACTTGTCTTCAATCCAAAATTTTCAAAAATTAGGAATGACACTCTGCAACTGCAATCCCTGGTCTGCATAAAAAGATGACGTTTATCAGGGAGCCGGCCAGGTACTCCACTTCCAAATCAAACCTTAAGAGTTTGCACTTTAGGAACCTCCTTCACTGCACTAATTAACTCCAAAACAGGATTAATTCATTATTTGAACTGCGACTTTGCTGTACAGGCAGCTGTTTCAGTGATGCACTGTAATTCACAAAACACCCATTATAAGTTGGGTAAAGTTCCTCTTGTACTGTGGTTGTTCACACCCCAGACTGTCCGATAAAGTTGTATGTATAAAACTGTTGTGCTGATTTCACTGGCTTCTTTAATGTTAAGCAAGAAAGGTAGATGAATAGTAAGTCAGCCTCTCATTAGTGAAGACAGTGTCCACAAATTATCCTGGGAAGGCTGGGCTTGCATGTAGTAGAGACACAGAGTAGAAATAAGTAAGTTTAGGTATTTTTAAGACTAAACTAGCCCAGTGTTCTCTAGCACCAAGATTATAGTGAAAACAACTTAAAATGTAGAGATCAGAAATGATATTTTTAATAGCAGCCATCAGTAAAACATGCAGGGCCTCGATAAAATGGGAAAACAAGATGTTTGTGCCAATATAAGTTGATAAAACCAAGAAGTTAAAGAACTGACAACCTATTTTGCTTCCTACACATAACCTGATGCCACTCTTCAAGCCTCTTCTTGCAACAGTATTTTTCACCTGGTACTTTTGTCTGAAGATCCTCAATAAAATTAAACAAGAAGTTTTAGATCTTCAGATTTCCTGAACTCTACTCACTTCTCATATTTATGGAGAGACCCTATATGACAGATATTCGTAGTGTTAGAACACATTTATACTGCTTTGGCATCATAATTCAAAGTTGAAAGCTAGAGAGAAAGGTAGTCCACCATCTCCTGGCTTCTAGAAACAGGCCTCTTCAAACAAATAAATCCCTCCTTTGATCTTTAATTTAAAAAAATGTTAAAATTTTCCCCTTTCAAAATAAAGCTTCTCTTCAATAAGCTTGTTTGTAAAAAAAAAATCCAAAAGCCCCAACCCTTTTGTTTGCACTTAGCATAGCTGGATGTTAAAGACACAAAGAAAGTTTGCTTGAAAGAAAACAGAACAAAAGTGCACGTCTATTTATGAGCTAAAGCATGTGCTGTGCACGGCCATCGGCATCGTAGCCACAATGCATCAGACAGGTGCTCAACAGGAATTTCAGTCTGCTGGCTGGATTTGTTTAGAAATGGAGGAGCATAACTAATTCTTAACAACACCACTAGAAATTCGTTAGCGAAGTTTCTACTCTGCTTGCTCAGACTGGGACAGGCACATCAGGAACCCAAGCACACACGCCAGCAGAGCAAACCGAAGGCAAGGTCCGTGGGTTTTGTTCCCATCTTTGCAGAATCAAAAAGCACTTGGATAATTAAAGTAAAAACTCAAGTGTGAATATATAGAAGCAAAAATATATTGAAACACTAAAAATATCTTTTTGCAAGGGATACTGTGACAGGAGGATTTATTTCATAGAATCATAGAATGGTTTGGATTGGAAGGGACCTTAAAGATCATCCAGTTCCAACCCCCCTGCCATCACCAGGGACACCTTCCACTAGACCACGTTGCTCAAAGCCTCATCCAGCCTGGCCTTAAACACTTCCAGGGAGGGAAAACACTTCCAGGGAGGGAAACTGTAGAAACACATAGACACTGTTTTTGTTATGCCACTCTTGATTTTTCTGTAGCCCTCAGGACTGTACTAGTTGATGTCTATTACCTGTGATGTTTACACCAGGAAGAAGAAATAAATAATTTCACAGTAGTCATGCTAAAAGGTTCATTAAAAGACAGCACTGGGAAAAATGAAGGCTTGTGGTGTCAAGGGATTACTTAAGTAGAGATTTTATTTTACTTAAGCATTGAAGTCAACTTTGGTTTTCAATCTCCTTAAGAAAAACATCTTTTTTAATCTCCACACCTCTGTATAACCTGCAAGTAACTTTTTCTTTTTCTTTGCACATGTGCAGTTAAGTCATAGGGATGCACCTCTCCTATGAAGACAGGCTGAAAGAGTTGGGGCTGTTCAGCCTGGAGAAGAGAAGGCTCCAGGGAGACCTAGCGGCCTCCCAGTACCTGAAGGGGCTCCAAGAAAGCTGGGGAAGGACTTTTCATAAGGGCAGTTAATGACAGAACAAGGGGAAATGGGTTTAAACTGAAAGAGGGGAGGTTTAGATGAGATATTAGGAAGAAGTTCTTCACTGTGAGGGTGGTCAGACACTGGAACAGGTTGCCCAAGGAAGTTGTGGATGTCCCCTCCCTGGAAGTGTTGAAGGCCAGGCTGGATGAGGCTTTGAGCAACCTGGTCTAGTGGAAGGTGTCCCTGCTGCTGGCAGGGGGGTTGGAACTGGGTGATCTTTAAGGTCCCTTCAAACCCAAACCATTCTATGATTCTACGTCAAACAAACAACATCTAAAAATATTGCTAAGAATGGGTGGGGAAGCAAAGCAGAATATTCAAGACAACAACATCTGCCAGAGCACCTACAAAAGTAAAAGGACTAAAAAAAGGCTGATGGTGCCAAAAATCAGTTTCCTCCCAGATTATATCTTTCCATTAACAAATATCTTAGATGCTCCTTGATACCAATAAAACAGGAGCACAAGGGGAAATAAGGAACCTAAGTAAGTTAGTATTTCTACAAGACATGGTTACAAAACATCCTGGCAATCAGATGATGACAGAGAAAAAAATTAACAAAATGAGAGGTTATAAAAATGAACCTGAAGTAATCTACCTATGACACCTAATTCAACAATCCTTCAAAATCCAGGTCAACCAAGACCACTCAAGCTGTACTAGGCAAGATAAGAAGAAAGACACATCACCTGCACTAGCAGGCAAGCTTTTTACAGATAAAAGTGACTACATTTGTGTTTGCTGCTTATTCAGGGAATGGGAGAAATCCAGATGATGACTAAACCTAAACTCAAACTTGCACTCCCAAGAATTTCTGTCATTAGGCTACCAAGCTTTATGGCCACTGTATCTAGGAACTGGGAAGAACAACAAAAACAAAAGTTTGCCTTTTAACTGGACATACATAAAACTCATATTTAGCAATTTGTTTTTTTCATTTAGACCTTACAGATCTTCATCCAAGAGCCAACATGACACACTCCTTTTCCCCCAAAATAATACCAAATAGAGTCCTATGCAGTACAGAAAATGATTTAACTGCTCATTTCACATGAATACGATGCACAGTCTTCTGATCTGTTCCTCAGACTAACAAGGATAATGCTCTGCAATTATGCTCTGCTGACAAAAGGGGACTATATTAACAAATACATTAGACAATTAGGAAAAGGCAATCGTCTTAATTAAAATCTTCAAAGCTAACCATGTCAGTGTGTAAAATTCAGCTGCACATGGCAATAGACCAAATTAAATTAGCCTCAAGGTTGTGTGTGAAGCTCTATGTAAACTGACCCGTAAAAGATTACACTTTTTGTCTTTTTGAAGTTCTTTATTCTTTAGGCCATTACAGGTCAGCAGAAGACAGAGAACAAATTTAGTCTGTAGAGATACTAATGGCTTACATTGAGCTAATTTTCCAAAGACAATTATGGTTAACATCAAAACCAGAAAATGAAGCAAAACAGCAGCACTTCATTTCATTAAATGGGACTCATCTTCCCTTTTCTTCCCTTTTATTTCTCTCTAAGAAAACAAGATAAGAGTACTTACTTTAAGTAACCAAGTGAGCACAGAATCACGGTAAGGAACAAATTTATTCTTGTTCTTGCCAGCAGCCTGATCTGCCAGGGCAGAAATAACCAGCCCAAGAGTTGTGAGGGATCTGCATAGAGAACACAAGCAGTCATTAACAAGTGTAAATATTCATAAGTCAAATGCATATTTGCACTTTCTCTCTAAAAACGAGTTCCAAGGAAAAAGTTCCTAGTACAGTTGTGATCATTCTTCTCTCACAGAAGCTCTAATCCCTGTTTTCAGTCTGTTTTCAGCCTTAATAATCAACTCTTCACTACACAATCATGTGGTAGTTGCAGGAACACAAGTACAGAATGAAAAACGCCCATCATTTTAAGTAGGCAGAGATCTCATTCAAACATCTAAGATATTGTATGTCAGAAAGAGAAGTAGAGAGAAGGGAAGGAGAAAATTTGCTACAGGAGCTTATACTGACATTATTCTGTTTTACAAGTATGTGACATGTAGCAGTCATGATTGTACTGATGAAAAAAGGAAAAGAAACAATAACAGAGGCTTACTTGTTAATGTTGCTTCCTTCCTTCAGCCTGTCTCCTGCAGCACCTGTCTTAGTTGCCCTTTCACTACCTGCTAAGTCCACCAGACTCAGCTTGCCCACCTTCTCACCTGATGTCTGCAGAAAGAAACAGAGAACAGCTACTGTTAGTTCACTCAAATGAAGTTACGTAGTTTGATGTATTTTCAAACAAGAATCAAGATTCACTTCTTGGTGTAGACTCTCTGCAGCTGTTCCACCACCTTTGAAAGTCACCAGACTTGAACAGTATTCTGTGTTACCTTACTTCAGAGGATCTAAAATGAAGTCAGATACACTAATATCTTCAAGACATCTCAGAAGTCTCCAGAGGAGAGGAACACAGGTTACACTAATAAAATGTTAAACCAAGAAAAATGTAGAGGTAGTTCAGGCCAAGGAGTAACAGACACGGGGTCTACAATTCCATCTTGAAAAGAGTCTCCTAAAAATCTCGGATTTTATACCAAGTTTCTTCTCTGTTTTTCAGAGAGTAAGAATGAACATTACAAGAAGCATATTATAATTTACAAAAATTACTACAATTGCTAAGTCTCCTATATCCTCAACAGCCTCCTAGAAAGCAATCCAAGCTCGGTATTTAAACCTGTAACAGAGATTTTTTGTTACAAATTCTTTTATCTCATTTGATCCAAAATGATATTCTAAAACACTCCATGAATTTCATATGTCAATCTCAAGTTGAAGAGCTGTCCTGGCTTTCTGCTGGGCCAGAGCTGTTTTTTTTCAGCAGCTTGAACAATGCTAGAATTTGGGTTCAGCTGGGATTTGGTAGGAGAGAAACGCTGAGAACATCCTGATGTTTTCAATTGTGGCTGGAAGTCAAAGGACTTTGTGTTTTGCTGCTCTGCAAAGTGCAAGATCTCAGGGGGGAGGAATATTGCCATGGATCAGCTCCATGGGCATTGGGCTCTGCCAAGGGGCTGTTCCATCTCCTGTCCCCCATGGGCAGGAGATCCATGAGGGGCTCTTCCTCTCTTGCTCTCTCTGGCTTTGGCTCGGGCTCTGGCTCTCCCGGGATTGCGGTTTCAGGTCGGGATTGTGGCTCCTGCGGGATCGTGATCTGGGAACGGGCCGGGCTGGGTGGGCGGGTGCTGAGCAATGGCACTGGGTAGTGCTCATTGACATATTTTACTACTATCATTATTAACATTATTATTTTAATTAATTATTATTTTCTTTTATTTCAATTATTAATTTGTTCTTATCTCAACCTGAGTCTCCTTACCCTTGCCCCCAATTCTCTCCCCTATCCTTTGGGGGCTGCGTAGGGGGGCAGTGAGTGAATGGCTGTGTTTGGCTGCTAGCCAAGGGCTAGCCAAGTGAAACCACCACAAGAACTGTCTTTGAGAACAGTTCACTCACATCATGCTCTTCTGAACCACCTACGACTTTAGCATCTCAGTATCACAGCTGCAAAGTGCTACATTCCCCTAAATGAACAGGATAATTGGAATCAATATGTTTTCAAAAATGTTTCTCTAAGCCTCTCAAAATATAATGAGAGCATCAGGCCATACTGAAACAAGTCATTTCCAGAACTGAAAGGACCAGGAGATGGGAAAACAGAGAAATCTGCTCCAGAAATTCACACAGGGGTCACTGGAAGCTGCAGAACTACCACCCTGCATGCAGACTGACCATGACCACACACAAAAAATATGTATGATATGCAGTATGGGCACAGCAAAACCAGAATAATAAACTATGGTAAATCAAGGACTTCAGCACAGTATGACTGCTGATTTGAAGTGCAAAGTAGAAAAAAAAAAACCCAAAACAAATAAAAACTAAGGAAAATTGTTTGGATAAGAAGATCAGAGGAGACTGAGAAATAAGGAGGAGAAAAATCCAGAAGCTTATTATGATTTAGTCTGCATTCAATATTTAGGCACATATATGCCTTAGATTTGCTCTGTGGACGCTCAAAATTCCTCCAAGGCTTTGAAGACATTAAAGAATTGGCAAACATAGAAATTATCATCACAGTTTAAAGAGTTTTGATATGGGAGATGTATTTCAATTTTACTTTATCAACATTTTCTGTGAGGGATTAAATAATATTAACATAAATATATTTCATACCCTCTCCAAGGGAATATTTAGATGTAAGGAAATGTATAGAAAAATAGTTTCACATTTAAACGACTTTTAGATATTTTATATATACACATAAAAATATTAACGTCATAAAATGCCAAATTTTTGAAATTTCTGTTTATAAAATTGATCATTTAGATGTTATTGCATGAAATAACCCCTTGAAGGAGATCACCAGATGTATACTCAGGTGTTCTTCTATTTTTCAAATGCACATCATATCTTTAGTTTCTGCTCCAAGTCTCTACTACACACTAGTTGCCTAAAAAGAACCGTTTTTTAGTTCAGATTCTAGGATTAGGAGATCCTCCCTGCACTCTCTAGAAGGAATGTTGCAACTTGGGCTCTGTGTTTTTGATTTTCATCTCAAAAAACCTATTAAAATGGATTTCCTTTACATTGGGGCAGAAACACAGGAGCATTATGAAGACTTGGCCAGACAAAGCCATAGCTAACGTGCTCCAGCACTAGCAGTGCACAAGGGTAGGAGGCTGTAGCAAATGATCTCCTGAGGTGCCTTCCAACCAACGTTTCTAGGAGTCTGTGATATATATTAAAGCAACAGACACACATCCAAGCTTAACACTGGGACCCTGTAACTTGTTTTACTTACCCCTGATTGTACATCATAGAGCGTGTGGGTGAGGATAATCTTGAAGACTGCGTGGGACCGACTGCTCTCCTCATTCATGTTGGTTGCAGCCACTGTTCGAGATTTGTTGCCCTCAGACATCAAGGACTCGATGTCCTAGATACAATTTTCACAGCCATAAGCAGATCTGCATTAATATTCTTTTCAATTATCTACCAAAACAATCTCATTTTGGTGAAATACAGCAAGTATTTTGCCCACTATTTTCCTACTGTTTATTCATAAAGTGTGAGGAAAGAAAATATTTTGATCTCCCCTTCAAAGACTTGAAATTACACAGTGATGTGAAATGCATATTCATCCATTACCTCTACCTAGATATTAAATTATCAATAAAAATAATGCACCTGGATGCACATTGAAATACTCAAAAGCAAAGAGAGAAAAAAAAGAGGAAACTGCAATTAATTTTTGAACACTGTAACGTTTCCACCTCATTTGGCAAACACAGGTTCTTGAAATCTGTAATGCTGACACAAGGCTCAGAGTTTTACAAAACAGAAGCACACTGAACAGGTAATTTTATTCCTCCTACAGATAAGAGCTTATAAAATCCTCTGATATGTTAAACTATGAGATATTAGAAATACACAGGTCACCTTTTTCAGGGTTTTACAGCGATCCTGTAAAATAGTTAAAATTTTAGAGTCTTGGGCTTAACTTTTACTCGTGCATCACTAGCTGGATGATGCTAAAAAACCCCCCAAAAACAATAAAATAAAAGACCACCACGGACCATTTTGTATGCTGTATGACACAAAGCTGCTGGGCAACATGGAAAGGAAAAGCATGGAATGTGTCTTGTCTTAACAGGAACCACCACAGAAAGGTGGATGAATACCTGGAGAGACTGCAATAGAAAGACCGTTTCACTTTCATGTTTTGCTTAAGATGACAGAATTCCATCCTGTATTTACTCATTTCTCCCACAGTACATTTATGCCTCTCAAAAATTAAGGCATTTTGTGATGTATATATAAAGAAGGGGGAGGTTCTCCTTCTCCTCTACTCTGCCCCTGGTGAGGCCACATCTACAGTGTTGTGTCCAGTTCTGGGCTCCCCAGTTCAAGAGAGACAGGGAACCCCTGGAGAGAGTCCAGCGGAGGCCACAAAGATGATGAGGGGCCTGGAGTATCTGCCTGACGAGGAGAGGCTGAGAGAGCTGGGACTGTTCAGTCTGGAGAAGAGCAGCCTGAGAGGGGATCTGATCAATGTCTATAAATATCTGAAATGTGGGGGCCAAATGGATGGGGCCGGGCTCTTCTCGGTGGTGCCCAGTGACAGGACAAGGGGCAATGGGCACAAACTGGGACACCAAAAGTTCCAGACAAACTGAAGGAAAAACTTCTTTCCTGTGAGGGTGCCAGAGCCCTGGGACAGGCTGCCCAGAGAGGGTGTGGAGTCTCCATCTCTGGAGATGTTCCAAGCCCACCTGGACACTTTCCTGTGCAACCTGGTTTGGGGAACCTGCTTTGTCAGGGGGGTTGGACTGGATGATCTCCTGAGGTCCCTTCCAAGCCCCACCAGTCTGTGATTCTGTGATTTATTATCCAGCAAGCAAGTTTTATGCAATGTTCTCAAGTATTGCCTTGTAAACAACCATTAGTTTGTAATTCCAGTGTGCCTGTGTGCTATTGGTAAGTGAAATTACTAGGCAATAGGATGACAGCCAAGAAGTGACAAAATGTGGTCCTGAAAGCCCATCTCTGCTAAATCCTGTTTCTGTAATTAATCATGGAATGCTTTTTCGTGGATACAGCATATGCTCATCTTAAGTTTCAGAGGAAAGTTGTTTTATTACATAGTGAAATTACTTCCAGAACTAGTGAATAGTACCGGATGAAAATGAGTTTCTGCTCTTAACCCTGTTCTCCTCAGTGATCACAATACAACAATCCTAGAGTTCTCTTCCTCTAAAATCCATGTTACTGCCACTGCAATTAGGAGTTCCTTAATAATTTCAGCCTGGAGAAGAGAAGGCTCTGGGGAGATCTTATAGCGGCCTTCCAATACCTGAAGGGGGCCTACAAGAAAGCTGGGGAAGGACTTTTCGTAAGGGCAGTTAATGACAAAACAAGGGGAAATGGGTTTAAACTGAAAGAGGGGAGGTTTAGATGAGATATTAGGAAGAAGTTCTTCACTGTGAGGGTGGTCAGACACTGGAACAGGTTGCCCAAGGAAGTTGTGGATGCCCCTCCCTGGAAGTGTTGAAGGCCAGGTTGGATGAGGATTTGAGCAACGTGGTCTAGTGGAAGGTGTCCCTGCTGCTGGCAGGGGGGTTGGAACTGGATGATCTTTAAGGTCCCTTCCAATCCTAACCATTCTATGATTCTATGAATTTTGTCCTGCTTAAGGTACATTAACCCTGGTATTTAAGATGTCAACACAAGCCTTTCATAAAACTGATCCTTACCTTGTAGCTAGCAACAGCTAGTTTGGATAGGCCATCTACGTAAGGACCATAAACACTGTGTTCTCTGACTTTTAATGTCTGACGGCTTCTGCTTGGGGAAAAAAAAAGTTATTTATGAGCACATGACTGACTCCAGACACCACTTACAGAAAGTCAATTTCTCACTGACAGATCTCAAACATGATGGTCTTACAAACACCATAAAACCCCCACAGAACAGGGACTATAACGCAAACAAAAAAGCCTTACGTCTACACGTAAAATGCTGACATAGACATTTTTGATGCTTCATAAAAGCTAGTGAGTTTACACCAAGCTTTTTGTCTTACTACTTTATTTTGATTTCAAATGAAAGGACACTGAGATCAGGAAGAAGTGAAAGCCAGCCTACAAATGCCTGAAACGGGACCCATTAAGTCAAGCTGGTTATGGAAAGGAAGAGGGTATGACAACATATTAGAGTGCTGTTGACACACGAATTACTTACCCTTTTGGGTCAAGAAGATCTCTGACTTTCTCATTGTATATCTCCATGTAGGATACTTCCACTTTGAAACTCTGCTCTTCATTTTCCTCTTTCTGTGCTCTTTCAAAGAGTCCACTGCAAAGTCTAGGGATTAATCCAGGCTGGTCAGCAGTACCCATCATCGTGTATGATTTTCCAGATCCTGTGTGATTGAATCTGTGATTAGTGTACATGCAACAAAGTTTCTTGCTGTGCAGGACAGCAGAAAGGAAATAGAGAGAAGAGGTTAAAAAAAATAATTTGCCCTTCAATGAAAAATACTTGTACAGTTTTCTATTTTAAAGCAACCAAAACACCATTTAGCTAAAGACTATTTAATTAAAAGGAAAAGCAAAACAAGAAGTTTAGTTCGAACTGACAGATTTTTTTTTAGGTAGGTACAGTCTCACTGTGCACTAACATCCACATATGTGCCACACTGAGAAAAGTAGGTGCACAAGCACACTCATTTTTGCATATTACATTTAAAATGATGACTACAATTATTCCAACTACAGCCTGTAGAGAATATGAGCGACGCACTGAACTCAAGGACAATCACGGTCATTCCAAAGATTATAATCTGAGGTGTGAGAAATAAAGGTAGCCAGCAGCAACAGAGAAAATCCTACTTCTCATCCTGTCCACCTCTTATCTAATGTTACAAAAAAGAAAAATATTTCTTATTTACATTCCAAGGTATTTCTCCTGAAACAATGTCACAACAGCCCTGAAAAGTCTCCGGTCAGAACATAAAACCTTTTGCATCAATAATGTTTTTTGCTGACGTCCAGCAAGGACTTACCAGTTTGCCCATAGGCAAAGATGCAAGCGTTATAGCCTTCAAAGGCATTCTGAAGAATATTCTCTCCAAGGCACTTGAAAACAACATCTTGACCTAAGAATTAAAACAGACAAGCTGACGTTGTAACAAAGCAACAGATTCCCTCCACCCCTCGATTTGGATCCTTCAATAATTATGTAAAGCAGTGTTTTCCTGCTGCTGTTGCCCAAATAACATGTTTAGCTCCTAAATAACATATTTAGCTCCAGTATTTGCTCCCTCTACAAGACCAAGACCATCAGCCAGTAGACGTACTCCAGATTTATGCTACTCTCAAAATCAGAAGCTGTGATGATCATGCATATACCAGTACGTGCTTAAAACAACATCCTATCAACGTTCATACTCGGAATTTTTATCAGCAGAACATCTACCACCAGCTGCAGAATTTCATCCACCAGTGAATGACACCACCTCAAAACAGACTCAACCCAGACATTTTCCCAACTGTCATTTGATTTTAATCTAGAACAATTAGTAGAGGACTAGATAATTTTACTGTAAATGTACAAGGTATTAAATAATATTATGAAGAGATTTTTGTAGAGAAGGAATCACAACTATGTGGAGATATTATAGCACATGACATGAATTAGCAAAATACAGGATATATATTATTTTTTTTTGTAATTGAACTAAATCTGTAGGAACAGCTTTTCCACTCCTTTTCCAATCTCCTTAATAGATTTGGGTATCACCTATTTAAATGAAACCTCTATTTTCAGAATTTCTTTTACAAGCAGAGGAACTAGAGTCTGAACAAGACATGGCAGAATTTTAAGTACTGAAAAGTCCTCTCAAATATGTTAATGTTCCTGAAAGCTTGTCCTTTCTCTCATTAATTGAAGTCTGTATCTTTACATCCAAGCCCACTCAGAATTTTACTAATGCAAAATTTCCCATCACCTTTACTAAGAGCTGTGCCCAGCTAAGCACAGCGGAATGGTTTTGGACTGAACACTTCTAACATATAACAGACCATAATATAAGTGACATAGGAGCCTCCACTAGTTTGAGAAACAAAAATATTACCTTCATATGTAATTGGTGTAGCTGAAAGTGTCACAGTTTTCTCAATTCCTCACTAAATTATTATTCATATTATTTTCTCTCTTGCTAGAGAAATTAAAACCTAGAACCATACACATCCTTTATTTTTCTTGTGATTTTCTTTTCTTTAATAAATGTAAACAAGCTTAAATGATTCCCAGTTTTAAGAGATAACAAGTATGAAAGGAATAGATCACAAGAGCAGTAAGTCCAAATATATTTCATATTTTACCCTAACTATTTACCAAAATATCTCATGATAATCCACATAAATAAAAGAAAACTTTTAATTAAATACAATACACATTCTCGCCAGACTATATGAATTCACATAGCCCTATATTAAAATATGCTTTTTTTTAAATACTCCATTACTAAGTTCTGATATGATGCCAAACTCTCAGCAGCACTGTGAAACATTAAATTACATATAGCAATGTTCCTCAGATCCTGAAAGGAAATAGATTTCATGCTTTTAAAATGATTGACTTGGAACAGTATTTTAAAGAAAGATCTAAATATAAGTAATCCATGATTGTGATGGATTTCTCCATTTCCTACAGTTTAAACGGGCAGCAATGCCTATTGCTATTGTCATCTTCAGAGAAGAGAAACAGGAAGGGGAAGGGTCTGGAGCACAAGTGTGCTGAGTTCCTGGCTGAGGGAACTGGGGGTGTTGAGCCTGGAGCAAAGGAGGCTGAGGGGAGACCTGGCTCTGTCCAAGTCCCTTGGAGGAGGGTGGAAAGAGGTGGAGGTGGGTCTGTTCAACCAAGGCCCAAGGGACAGGACAAGAGGAAATGGGCTGAAGTTGTGGCCAGGGCAGTTGAGATGGGATGTGAGGAAGAATTTCTTTGCTGAAAGGGTTCTGAGGCATTGGAAGGGGTTGCCCAGGGCAGTGGTGGAGTCCCCATCCCTGGAGGGATTGAAGAGTCGTGTAGACATAGTGCTGAGGGACATGGGTTAGTCATAGGGGACTTGTCAGTGTTGGGTTCATGGTTGGACTCGATGATCTTCAAGGTCTTTTCCAACCACTACAGTTCCGTGTTTCTGTATTTTAATTAGATCATTTTCCCTTGGAGACAACGAGCACAAAGCTACAATAAATATTACCTGCATATTTTTCTTTGACAGATTCATCCATAGACCAAAAGCAGTGATCATAAGCAAACACCTGTAGAAAAATAAGCAGGACACCATCAAACCTGTTGCCAAATCAAACACGTTATCCAAATTTTGATACCAAAATTGGTATCATCAATTGGCCAACTTCAGGCTCCTCGGTGCCATTCTGAACAGGATGCACATTCCCACAGAATTCCTTATTTTCTATGAGTCTGAATCCCAAACAAACACCATATCTTCCTACATACAACCCTGTTCCTTCCTTTCATTTGTTCCTTGTTCTTATTTCTTCCTTTCTACTGTATGAATCCTATTCCAATGCTTTCCAAAAGCTCTCCATGTGGCAACCAAGTGGATGTCAAGGAGTTTTCCTTATCTTCCTTTAAACCCATCCTTGCAATTCATTTTGCACAAGACTTTCTATTTTGCAAACTGACAGATGTCCCCTGGCTGTTTCTGCCTACCATCTCCTGGTGTCTCTTGGCTGTGTAAATTAAAAATACACTTTCTGGCAGGAACCTCTTTCCATACAAGAGCAGGATGGATTTATATACTGCTGACAAACAGAAGCAGTCGTCATCAAAGTCTAATACTTGTAAAGTACAATATAGAGCAAATGAGTTTTATCACGAAAAGAGTAGCACTGTTATCTTTTTAAATAGAAAAGTTTGAATGGGGGCCTACAAGAAAGCTGGGGAAGGACTTTTCCTAAGGGCAGTTAATGACAAAACAAGGGGAAATGGGTTTAAGCTGAAAGAGGGGAGGTTTAGATGAGATATTAGGAAGAAGTTCTTCACTGTGAGGGTGGTCAGACACTGGAACAGGTTGCCCAAGGAAGTTGTGGATGCCCCCTCCCTGGAAGTGTTGAAGGCCAGGTTGGATGAGGCTTTGAGCAACCTGGTCTAGTGGAAGGTGTCCCTGCTGCTGGCAGGGGGATTGGAACTGGATGATCTTTAAGGTCCCTTCCAATCCAAACCATTCTATGATTCTATGATTCTATGAATTTTGTGGCAAATCCATTTAAAGGTCCACAGGCACCTTTCATCATGAAAGTTGAGCTTCAGTAAGTGCATATTTTGGGACTTCAGGATGCAAAAACAACTCCTCTGGATACGTATTTGTAAAAAAAACCCAAACAACCAAAAACGAAAATCAGGGAAATATCTGACCTGCATTCACACAGGCAAAATTTATTCTGTAGGATCCAAGAAAAGGGAAATAGAATGTGTTACTCTTTGGATTATTATTTCTCTCCTAAACTTAAGGAAGGCTGCTCTTTCCCCTTTACATGTTCTGTATTGCTGTGTAGCCAACATTTGCATCACTTCAGATCACCCTGACAGAGCAAGCGCATCATGTCAGCTTCTAACATCCACCTTCTGAACCCTCATGTCATTATTTCTGAAAATTTCCTGTTATCTGTTAATGCATTTTCATATTCCATTTTAGTGAAGTCTGTTGTCTATACGCTAAAGGTACTAACCATGAACTAGCACCTGCATAGATAATCAAACTCAACATTTCTTAACTAGTAAAGATTGTAGGAACAAAGTATGTCACATCATTATAGAATCACAGAATGGTTTGGATTGGAAGGGACCTTAAAGCTCATCCAGTTCCAACCCCCCTGCCAGCAGCAGGGACACCTTCCACTAGACCAGGTTGCTCAAAGCCTCATCCAGTCTGGCCTTCAACACTTCCAGGGAGGAGCAACCACAGCTTCTCTGGCGGGCCCAGCCACAACTTCCTTGGGCAACCTGTTCCAGTGTCTGACCACCCTCACAGTGAAGAACTTCTTCCTAATATCTCATCTAAACCTCCCCTCTTTCAGCTTAAACCCATTTCCCCTTGTTTTGTCATTAACTGCCCTTAAGAAAAGTCCTTCCCCAGCTTTCTTGTAGGCCCCCTTCAGGTATTGGAAGGCAATTATTTATTATTATCTATATTAATAATAACTATTATCTATATTTATATATAATAATTTATAATTTATTATAATTATTATTATCTATATGAATAATAAGAAAATCCTAAAAATAAATACTGAGTCTGTAGTGATTTATCTCAGTTACAGCATTTCCTAATAGATCATACGATGGAATAATGAAAAATCATTTAAGGACTCACACAGCAATAAAGCAAACCTTCTTCGAGTATTTATACTAATTAAAATAATTAGAAAAATTATGCAAGAGTTGAAAATTCATACTACCAACACATCCAAACTTACTACCTACATTTATGAAAACACTTAGTATAGCAAAATCCTTGAAATTTAAATAACTTCTCTTCAAAAATATACTGTTTTTTCCCTTTCTTACATTACATTAATATCCCAGCATCAAAAGATAAAAGTGGTTATTTTACATCCTCTAATTGAGGCTGTTGATTTAAAATTAAGGGGGTTTTTTTGGTTCTTTGAATTTATTATACAATTAAGCCTATTATTATAACACCCCACACCTTCAGAGCTTTTAATAAAACATCATTTGCTATATGACCACATCAATACAGCCGACTCCTGATATGCTGGGGTAGAGATGGGTATCTGCATACCAAAGAGAGAGTCATGGGATCATCACCCATAACAACAAAATGAGTTTCCTTTAACACAGAAACCAGAAAATGCTTTTAAAAGCCCACAAATAAGGAGCAGCCTTCCATTCACAGTCTGTACCGCTGACTATGTCTATTCTCACTTGTTCCTGTGACTCATTTCTTGGCACAGGCTGTCCAGGGCTCTTCTGCAGCAAGGAAGATGTTTTGAGTTTCTTACTCAACAGCTGATCAACTACAGAGCTGGTTTTCAAAATGCTTTTAATATTTGGATCACCCAAGACTGAATAAGTGATATGACAATTTTTCACACGCTGATTTAATGTGAAATAAAAGCCCTTACCTTTGGTTGGGTCCTACTGTTCCCCGAAGCATCAGGAGCAGAATGGATTTGGTTTAGGGTTGAGGTAAGAAAAAGAAAGACAAAAGAAAAACAAAGACTGTTAGTTGTAGTGATTTTAGCTTAATTACTCTTTCATTAACACCTCCTCATTGGAACGCTGTATTTTAAAAGTTCATTTCAGATCTCCCCTAGCTTACAGATCCCAAGTCATTTTATAAACCAAAGCTTATCTCTGTTCAAGCGTAAGATTTGAGATGCTGCTCTGAATAAGTTGATTTTAAACTCAAAGCCACTGATTTTCCTCACGCTGCCACCATCTCTTCCTCATTCTCTCCCAGTTTTTTTTTTCTTCTTCTGACACCTCGCTCTCTTTATTTTGTGGATGTCACTGTCTCTTAAAAACAAAGTATCCAAGCAATGTAAAAATATCCAAGCAATGTAAAAATATCCAAAACCACTTGAACAGGAACTTCAGGAAAGTTATTCAAGAGGAAATTTCAACCCTTGGACTTGCCCAACTCAGTTCTCTCACAGTTGCTGGGACAGCAGAGGAAACAGTTGTTTCCCTAAAAGAATGAGCAGAGAACAGCAATTCCTTTAATTATGTACATCATTCCAAAGTAAGTTTGAGGGTTTTTAAAATTGTTTTGTTTTGTTTTGGGGTTTTTTTGTTTTGTTTTTTCTTAACAAGTACAAAATTACTGGAATGACCTTTAAAACAACAGCAGAGCCATCAGTCAATGCCCTGACTGCAGGTTACACAGTCTTCCCACATACAGAAGACTGGAGAAATACAACACACAACAACGAGGAACAAATATTCTCCTCGTCCTGGACCTTCCAAATGAGATTAGGAAGCTCTTGGCATCAGTAACAAGTGAAGTCTTGTGACAAGCACCGCTGATTTCTTTTGAACAGAGCAGGAGAAAGACATGGGAGCCATCTAAGATTACTCTCAGAGTTCTTGCTGCTCATATGGGTTGAGAAGTTAGTTTAAAAATAGCAATTTCTCAGCATTTTCTCTCAAAAATAATGATTTATTAAGCGAGCCCATCATCTCTTTTTACTCAGGCTTGGATCTGATATGTGTATCTGTTTGACATAACAGGAACGACGGTGACTTTGGATAACAGCAGTTGGCGTGACCTGCTACGTAAGATGATTATTTCAGTCAAGGTTACCCCATGACAGCCATGTCACAGGGTCATTCAAGGAAGTGACAACAACACAACCACTTGTCCCTCTGCCATCCAGTGAAGTTTGAATAAAAGGTCTCCCAAGGTTCTTGGCAGCATGCTTGGTGCAGACTCTCAACTATCTCTGTTGCCCCTGGGTGGGTCGTACCTATGGAAGCCTACTGAGGGAATCTCCTTCACCAGAGCTTTGATCCAGACACAGAAGATAACAGAAAGCCCATGTGGATTAGTCTAAGAGAGATGGAAGAGCATTTTCTTGGCTCTCTATGATTTGAAATGCTAGTGGAGCATTTTGCTGAAGGACTTCACTGGAAACTGCTAAGTGGCTTTAGGGATGCTCCTGATTTCAAGCCAGACTTAGTCCTACAGGAAGATCATTCTCGTTGTAAAATGGAGAACAGCAAGCCTGGATTCTGAGTCTGAGTTTAACACTCAGAGACGTGATGCTGCTCTTAATCCAGCAAGCAGTTATGCTCCTATTTCCCATCCCAGTTCCATGGCAGGATTATATTCCAACAGTGCGGCTGATCTCCCCAGCCCTCAATACAGCAGGTTTTATTTGGATTAAAGCAGCAATAAGGATATAATCTCAGAAGTCATATCACAGATACAATTTTAAGAGGATGGATTATAGGACTCTATGTAAATCATCAAGCTTAGTTCAGATTTAAAGTCTTAAAGCATCTCGCTTTCTAAAGAGCTGCACAAACACACCAAACCATGTCTCACTTGCAGCCTCACTTAATTCCAACATGAGCAAAAGAGAAGCCCCGACATCTAAGAAACCCAGTGAAGAGCATTTAGGACAGAGCAGAGCTATGGGGGCTGCAGCTTCTTCTGGGAACTTTGGACAAAAAGAGAATAAATCAGAAAGCATTAAGGCTGTGTGCTGTATCACTCAGCATCGGGCTGTGCACGTGTGAACCCAGTGATGCTGCACCTGCACGATGCGATAGCTGGGACCAGAAATTCATGAAAAAGATTTTCAACCTGATTCAAAATCCCATGGGAAATTAATCTCCCACAACATGAGCCAGCAGAGTGCCCAGGTGGCCAAGAAGGCCAAGGGCATCCTGGCCTGGATCAGCACCAGTGCGGCCAGTAGGACCAGGGAAGTTCTCTTCCCCGGGCACTGGTGAGGCCGCAGCTGGAGTGCTGGGTTCAGTGTTGGGCCCCTGAGTCCAAGAAGGACATGGAGGTGCTGGAGCGTGTCCAGAGAAGGGAACGGAGCTGGGGAAGGGTCTGGAGCACAAGTGTGCTGAGTTCCCTTGTGGCTGAGGGAACTGGGGGTGTTGAGCCTGGAGCAAAGGAGGCTGAGGGGAGACCTTGTGGCTCTGTGCAAGTCCCTTGGAGGAGGGTGGAGAGAGGTGGGGGTGGGTCTGTTCAACCAAGGCCCAAGGGCCAGGACAAGAGGAAATGGGCTCCAGTTGTGGCCAGGGCAGTTGAGATGTGATGTGAGGAAGAATTTCTTTGCTGCAAGGGTTCTGAGGCATTGGAAGGGGTTGCCCAGGGCAGTGGTGGAGTCCCCATCCCTGGAGGGATTGAAGAGTCGTGTAGACATAGTGCTGAGGGACATGGGTTAGTCGGGGACTTGTCAGTGTTGGGTTCATGGTTGGACTGGATGATCTTAAAGGGCTTTTCCAGTCCAGGCAATTCTGGGATTCTGTGAAAACACAGATGACACAAACACACGCAACGAACATTTCCCATGGAGAAGGTCGGCATTAGCAAAAGAACCCTCAGAAGATTCCAATACTGACAACTTGCAATCAGAATGAATCGTAAAGAACCAGGAGCTGTTCTAAAGCAGAAAAGATCCTGTTTAGTGGTGTCTCCTGCAAACTGTTCACACCAAAACCCGGGTCCACACCAGTGTCTGCAAGGTACAGAGGGAAAAGGAGCACAGAGAGAAATGATCGTTGCAGGACTCTTAAAGCACTGTCAGAGGTTATCCAGCAGCTTCCCCCGAGGACGCTGTCATCTCAGCGGTGCAGCCAGGACTTGCTATCGTTCCTCGGCTGACAGCCAGTAAATCACATCTCAAATGCAGCAGAAACATCCAGGACAGGAAGGGAAAACTTATCTTTTAGCTACTGAAGGATGTCACTAAGATGTTTTCAGCTACACATTTTCACTTGAATCCAGACTGACAGGACTTTCCTTTGCCAACTCCCCTCTTTTATCTTTTTTTCCATTTAATGTTGAACAGAAGTAGGGGAAATCTAATGTGTCTAAGGTTTCTAAAATGAAAATATGAGAAAGAATACCCTAAAACAAATGCTTACAACTATTATTATTATTTTATCTGTTACAGCCAAGTGAATATATATGTCATTTCAGGAATGAAGACATGCAGCCCTGAGTAATCATTTCTTTTTCAGCTAACTCTTACATAGTATAAGCTTCTTGACCAAGACACATTTGCTTTCATATAAAAATGTTAGTGATTTCACAGATCATAGAATGGTTTGGGTGGGAAGGGATCTTCAAAGCTCATCTAGTCCAACCCCCCCTGCAGTGAGCAGGGACATCTTCACTAGAGCAGGTTGCTCAGAGCCCCATCAAGCCTGACCTTGAATATCTCCAGGGATGGGGCCTCCACCACCTCTCTGGGCAACCTGTTCCAGTGATCCACAACCCTCATATTGAAGAACTTTTTCCTAATATCCAACCTAAATCTACCTTCTAGTTTAAAACCATTACTAAATGTCCTTGTGAACAGATCTTACACATGATTTAAACACCAGATAAAACCAGAGCAATTCCTAGCTGAGACCATCAGTATATGTCCAACACCACTATTGCTTCTCTTTTTTTAAAAAAACAATAGAATCTTCAATAATTAAATTATCTATTCAAGCACAATAAGTATACTGCACAAAAAAATTCAAGCACAATACTACTCTGTTCAGCCATAGCTATTAGTAATATTTCCAATCAGTTTTGACTCTGTTTTTCCAGGTTCAAAAGCAAAGGGAAGGTACAGTGACTTCAAGTATATTTGAGATTTTGCATATCTCGTGGGGAAAAACACTACAGCAAAGGAGCAGAGGTGAAACATGACTAGGAAGAGGCGAGGATAGCTCAGCCCTTATCTATTCCGTTTGGCTGACCCGAGAGCTCAGAGATCACAGCCAGCTGGCAAATCAGCACATGCTCTAAATCAGTCACAGCACATCCTGCTCCTTGTCTACATCTGAAACGGGCAGATGGGGCAAACAGGAGGAGAAAGGTGGGAGGTGGCAAGTTGGAAAGAAGGGAGAAGATGTACAGAGGCTCCTGGATGTGATCTGACAAGTCAAGCATTTATTTAAAAAAACCCAAATAACCCAAAAAACCCCCCACAACATTTCCTACACCAGCAGTGACCACAACAACATATATTAGGAAGTATTTCTTTGCTGAAAGGGTTCTGAGGCATTGGAAGGGGTTGGCCAGGGCAGTGGTGGAGCCCCCATCCCTGGAGGGATTAAAGAGTCGTGTAGACATAGTGCTGAGGGACATGGGTCAGTTGGGGACTTGTCAGTGTTGGGCTCATGATTGGACTCGATGATCTTTTCCAATCCAGGCAATTCTGGGATTCTGTAACATCCAAACTATAAATTTATCTGGTACTGCTCAGTGGCGTTAAGGCTACACTGGATTTGGGGAAGTGAAACATAATATTTTGCCATTTTCAGAGGTTTCTGAAGAAGAAAATATAATAAGAACTTGAAAGTTAAAAAAGAAAATGGGAGAGGGAACAATAACAACAGTAACTATGAACTAGAGAAGTCCCAGCAAAACCCCAGAAATTTTTATTGCTCTCCATGTTCAATCTTCTTTAACCACTGCAAACCCCAGCATATCAGATTCCAATGCAATTAGTGTTTATTTTATCCCCTTCAGCGGGAACTGCTCA